CATTCACAGCCTCACGGCCCCGCCGCGGCCTGGAGAGCCGCCGGGCGGGGCTGGCCCGGCGTGACCCCGTAGGGCGGGGGAGCCGCCGCCGCCGCCCCCTGAGGGTTGAGCTGAGGGCTGAGGAGTTCAAGGGCAGGGGGAGCGGCTCTGCGGGGCCGCGGGAGTGAAGGGCAGCGCTGGCACCCGGGAGGAGGCTTAGCCGCCCGTCCTGGGGGGCTGGAGCCGTCGGCTCTGCTCGCCCACGGAGGCTCTTGCTAGGACCTGACCGGACAGCTTGGGCGAACAGATCTCTCAAGGATGAGATCTCCATAATTTCCTGTGGAAAAGTCTTCTCACAGTCTGGTGAGCCTCACTATTAAGAAATCCCCTTGATATCCAGGCTATCGGGAGTGCGCCCGTGCTTCTCCCATCGCGCCGGTCACAGGGAACGTCCCCTGTGTTTTGTCTCAAAACACTTCGTGTTCTCTGCTCGGTCCTTGGAAAGCTCATCTCTCCCCACTTCCCTCCTTATCACAGATGCATGTCAGAGGGACGAAGAATACAACGCATTACCCTACACAGGATGCCTAAATGCTTTTCAGATTACTCACGAACTATAACCTTTCAGCCTATTCACGAACCCAATCACTTCTGGCCGATATAAGGATCATTCTCTCACCACTTGTTGCCCTGTACAGAACTTACCGCAGTGCCTGCCCGTAAGCCCTGAAACCAAAAGCCTTGTGAAAGAAACGTAGCTGAGGAACACAAGCATACAGCTGTAGGTGACAAAGTCTCAGCCTTTAAATTTTCACACTGACTGGTTTGGCACTGCTGGGCAAGTCATTTCAGTGCCTCTTGCTTCTTTAACCAAAAAGAATACTATCATGAAATTACTGAGCACACAGTTCTGACTGTTAGCCTTAGGCAAGCTTTATCAAAGTACTTTTATTTTCTAAAAACGAAAAGCGTGATAATCTTTTAGTTAGAACAATAATTTTTAAAAACTGTTATTCTGTTTTACCTGCATACTCCCACGTTTCTTTTCAATATTACAGTCTGTAAAAGGATGGTAGAATGTGTACTTAAAAATAGAAAACATGCAACAATGACATCAGGTTATATAATAAGAAAATCAGCTTTTTAAGTATCCAAGCAAAAAAAAAAAAAAAATCTTACTGTGAATAGCAGCAAATTTTTAGTTTTATGAGATACTCCAAAATACAGTGCATTTCAGGGGTAGGAACTGTAATGTCTCATCTGACATTCTCTATTTAGAGCTTGTAATCTGTATTTGTAACAGTACTTCATCTCCTGTCCCAGAATCTCCAGTGTCTTTTAAAAGTAGAGTAGTTCTGCTCTGTGAGATTGGTTTTGGTAGGTTGTATATCCTTTGTTTCTTCATTTATTTGTTTAAAGGTTATGAAGGGATGTAGTCATTTCATACACTTGTAGGCTAAAGGAGTTTTTTAATTAAAAACCTACAAGGGGTTTTGTGAATGGTATTTGGAAATCACATCCTTTAAGCCTTCAAAAGTAGGAATAAAAGGAAACCGCAAGAGACTGCCCCATACTAAACACCAGGAGATATGTTCAGTAACAGTATCACATCATATATAATGATATATGATAATAAGTTATAATTTCTGTCCTGTAGTACTAAAAGGCCATGAAATTCAGATATGGTTTTCAAATTCTCTTGGTCTGGAAACAAATGTTGATCTTCAAGTTTTTGTACTCGTCACAAAAATATCCCCATTTTGGGAAAACCAACAGATGAGTGGCCCAAAAAAGGGCCCAGGCTGCAGCAGTTACAGTCAATGTCATAACTCAGGATTGCAGTCATTGGCAGGGGTGTTTGGGGAAGCTTGCATAACATCTGCTTGCAACATGCCTGATTCAAACCAGCACTCCTCTCATGAATACTTACGACTTTTAAAAAGTAAAATGAATTTAGTCAATATAAAAGCAAATTTATTTTCCTGGGTGCCTGTCCAGACCTGCTTGAAATAACAGAAATTCCCCAACTCAAAAGTTATTTATATTTGCTATATATGTGTACCACAGTTGTGCTTTTTTTTTTTTTTTTTTTTTTTTTTTTTGTGTGTGTGTGTGTATGTCTGTTTGTGTGTGTGTTCTGATCTCATTCCTGTGAGCCATACCCAGAGAGCACTCTTTATGATGCCAGAGGGACTACTGTGGAGAGATTGATGTAGCTAAAAATCCCTGATCTCTGCTCTGAACATTTGTAGTGCTTCATTTTCATTATGTTAGCATGATAGGAAACACGGAAAGACATGCTTCATTTTGAGTGTTTACTCCCTGTGTTGTTTTTCACAGATGGTTTTATTTACAGGTTTCTTAGTTGTCTTGCTCGTCCTAGAAGGTGTGGCTGGTTATTTTGACTCAAATAGCTTATGGCTTTATAGCTTCCATGTCAGCCTCATCACCATTTTTAGTGCTAACAATATAAATAAATCAATCATAAGTTACAAGATTTGCTTGGTAGCTTTGATTGGATTTTTTTTTTTTAATGCAGAGAACACGTTAACATAGGATTAATATTTTATATCACACATACTTAGAGATTTAACTGCGGTTTTACAATGAAAGATGAATTACTCTAGAAAGGGATTTAGAGTAATTTCACTAATCCAAAAACTTACTTGTTCCCATTTTTTCTATCTGTTGTTGGTTCAAGTGTCATATGAAGACAGAACAGCATTAAAAATCTATTTAAACTTCCTTCAGCACACTACGTGTGGGAAATGGGGAAAAAAAAGTAAGAACTCTGAGTAGTGACAATGAAAAAATTAAGGGGGGAAGGACTGAAGGCACATTCAACTAAGTATTACATTAAAAAAAAACAAAAAACAACTAAATTGTAGAACTCATTCAGTTTCGACATTTGTAGTTTAGTCTTAGAGACAGATGTCTAAATGCTTCTCCAAATAAATGCCATTGGGAAGGACCATATTTCAAATAGAACAAGTTTATAATGAATGCTGAAGCTTACAGCAGTATTCAATGTCCTTTTATCTCCAGTTGTTCAGAAAAGAGATTAAGGTATCTGAAAAATGTATTAAGAAGAGGCCACACCATCTGCCAAGGCAGGTACACCACTGGGAAATTGGAAAAATATGAAAAATGACTTGAGCAAAAGAGCCTCTTTCCATTAAAAAACAGTTGGGGAATAAACTCATTTTGGGACATAATAATGTAAAAAGATGTTTAAAAATTACCCAGGATGGAAAACCTTGTTTGCTACATGAATTATTTTTAATGACACAAGAAATATTCGGAGATGAAGATTTTGTTGTCTCATGTCCCTGTTTTACCAGGAAATCAGGAATTACAACAAAAGCAAAAGTCCTTCATCCCTTACTCAGAACTTTTGCAAAGAGTTTCTTCCTAGTAAGGACCAAAGGCTGGCTCTAGTCAGCGAGTTACCATTTGCTTCAATCATAGGCAATTTACCAGAGATTACTTTGCAGTATCTCTGAATAGCAGTAGCATTCCAAAGAATGGAAATCAAATCATCTTTTCAGGCCTCTATTTATAAGCTCATATGTGCGCCTCTCAATCATGCTGTCAGCTCCTCCTGGTTTCAGTTGAATCTTGAAATAAAAAAAGATTCACAAGAGATCTTGCTTTTGTAAATGCACCCTAAGCCTTTTCCTGAGGGGCATGTTAGGAAATTAAGATTATGTGGTTATTCTTTGAGAACTGTCCATTATGAAGACAGGCCCATGGGATATAAGTTTGGAAACTTCAAACAAGCAGTGTTCACTACTCAGGATTGGTACAACCTTGAACACAGAATGTAATACAATCACTCCAAATTGCAGGCATTTTGCTATGTTATTAAAGAAGGCTCATTATTCGAAGACTACCATTGTTATTTAAAAATGGATTATAGTTATGATTTCAAATTAAATAGTTAATGTCCAGTGCCATTATCACCATACCTATCTAAAGATTGTTTTCCACACTAGATAACATCAGTGCAACTTGAAGCGGGATCAGAGAGTAGGTTTCTTAGATAACATTAAAAGGGAGTGGTAAAACTTACCTCCTAATATTTCAAAATTATCTTCCCATCACATCTGGCCATTAGCTTCCATAACATTTTGCCTGTTGAGCTAAGGTCACAGTAGATAGTTTTTCTAATAATAATAATTGTGTGAAACTCATAGGCTGATGATATTGCAGCCAGGCATCTGCAGGGTCTGTTTTTCACTATCATTCAGGCTGTAAATTACTTCCATCTTGGACAAAAGTGGCAAATCATCTCACTTTGGTGCTTATGATCATTAATCATATGAAAGTAGCACCACCAGCCTGTTACTATGCTGGGTGATGTATAGCTTTGTAGTAAAAACCAGACTCTGTCCTAAAATGCTCACAATAAAAATAGGCATTTATGAACACATGTGTAGATAAGCTTCAGCACCATTCAAATGCATAATGGCTTGATTAGGATCACATGGCAAGTCTATCAAAAACATTATTGGTTCATAAATCTCCCTAGTCCTCATATACAATCTTAGCTTTTAAAGTGTGTTTTTTTGTTACAGGTCCAAGAATCAGCTCATAAAATACACTACCATGTCATCAATGTAGTTTCACTAAAAAGTGTCTTTGAGAATTCATGATACATTACTTCCAAACGTGTGTTATCTGGTACAAACAGTTGCTCAGGCTGCCTTGAATTTTTCATGGGCTTATGCATTTCTCACTAATTTTAAAATTGAAGCTATATTCAATTTTCTTGTGCATTTACAGTCCAAGAGTCCAGCAACACGTGGATACTCCTTTCAATGCATGGGGATAATACCCTTGTCATGAATGCTGATTCACCCATGAAACAATGACTTGCTTTTCCAGTGCTTAGCTGACTTCCTAGAAACATTGGTTCCTTAAGCTACTCCCCCATGTGTGGCAGCATAGAAGGTTTAACATTCCTTCAAGGACCATTCATCCTATGCAGAGGAACATGCTGTCTTAGTGGAATTGCCATTAACCAGATAACCAGACCCTGTTCTCATATTTATTTTGCAGTCCCAGTTCTCTCACAGTGTGTTCCTGCTCTGTGTGCACACACTTTAAAAAGGCTTCAGGCAACAGCTTCTCTCTCAAGTGAAGGTCAATCAATACAGCTGATGTTTAATTATAGGTAGCTGACAGTGTCCTCTGGCATAGGCTAACCTTGTTAAATATAAGGTTTAAAAATATCCCTTAAAAATTAATTTTCTGCTTGTTTTTAGATGCCCTGTGTATGCTGATTCTCCTGTGACCTTGACAGGACTGGCAGTGACAGCTAAAACACTGCTTTACTTTGTCAACACTGAGATTCACTTCTACATTATAAAACAAGTTCGAGGGTTGTCACTATCTTCTACACCAGTGCATCTGATCTCTCCTGACAAAGGGGCATGAGATGGTTGTATTCATCTCGTGAATACCCTGTTAGAGGTATTTCAGCAGACACAGGCTGCTGAAACACAGGCTGTTCGCTTCTATTCACCACACGGTAAGAAAAGGACCGGTTTTGATTTGCTTCCGTTCATCTAGTGTACTGCCAGAGAATAAGCTGTACTAAATGCACAGAGTCTAAAAGGTTTTTGGTGATGTCTTCATTGTAACAACACTGTAACTTGAAAATTTCCAGCTTTAAATAAAATATTTTTTACATTATACAAGAGCTGCAGATCTTTCTTAATATTTTTGTTACTCCTATGCTTTGTCAACAGTTTGACTTCTGAGGGAGGACAGCACTGCTTAGAAGAGCTTTTAAGAAAACACTGAATTCCCTAGGACACTGATTCCTATTGTACTAGGTCAGCATGTCTCCAGCTGTACTCTGATTTCCAGTAATAGACCTAGTCTTCCAAATCAGTAAGTGATTGCAGCCAAGACGCCTGCACCATTACATCAGGTAAGTCCAAACCTCATCTCCTTCTATGCTTACCTCTGGGTGTGTCAAATTGTTGCTGAAAGGGCCCCCAGGAAAGGGTTAAGCATATTAATGAAATTGAGTACTTAATGAAACAGAGACAGTGTATTTAAAATATTGAAAGAAAATTTAAAACAGTCCAGCACTGCAAAACAACTTCCTGATGTTTTAGCTTAGGGTTTTGTCAATTCCTTTACTTCTACAGGGTCATGATATTAATGGTTTAAGTTCTAAATATATAAAAACTATTTAATAGAATCAGTAACGCTTAAAACAAACAAGTACCTTCTATGCGAAAATGTCGAATTATTTTAAACCTTAAACAAAACCAGGGAGAATAGAATCTCAGGAATCTGTGGTTTGAAATATAAGACTTCATGTATTTTAACCAAAACAAAAGGCAAATTTCTTACTATCTTCCCTGAAGATTCCTAAATAGAAGCGCTAATTAGATGTCATCCAGTTAAAACTTATCAATTAATCCAAACTGCCTTCAGAAGGATCATTGCATTGTGACGTGCATTATAAGGGGAAATTATAGCTGTCAAGTGTCAGATTTACTTCTGTTACTCACTCATCACTGAACTTTGAGACTAAGCATATTATTTTAATAGTTCTGAACAATGTGATTTTAATTGTTGCGATTAAGGGATTGCAGAAACGTGTCCCACGTGAAGACGACACTCAATAAAGTATTACCTCTGCTTTTAGAATTACCTTTGATCGCACTTGTAAATTCGCAGTAGATTTCCCATTAATTAGTGTGAATTAGATAGTTGTGGCTGTTCAGGTTAGGTTAATTCTAAATGCTTTACAATACATCGCTAATTATTGGGGGGGGGGGGGGGGGGAGGGAAAAACCCAACCCTTATTAAACAGCCCACAAGTGCAAGGGTTCACTCTGCTCCTAGGGGCTGGCAGCTTCTCCGCCGTGTTGGTCTTGGATGCTTGGGTAGCTCCTGGCACCACCACGGGACCTCCTCGTCCCGCAGAGAGAAGCTTCTCCAAGGCCCAACACAGCGCAGGGAACTCGGCTCATGCCTTCTCCCCTCCCCGACGATCCCATCCCTTTTTCCCGTCTGATCCACCCTCGGGAGCTCTGCTTCCCAGACGCCGCGCCGCTCTTTTGTCCTCGGTGCGAGGCCTCGGCTGAGCTCCTTTTCACATATGTCAACACTCGCCCATAATGAGCCCGCCGCACAATGAGCCATTCCCGCTCTCCAAAGGGCTCAGCGTGCGGGGGGGCGCGGGTGCCCAAACACAGACACCATTCCCCACTGTTGTAAATGCCGCGGCTTGACAGACGGACACATAGACCGTGTTCTTTGTTCTGCAATCGGGACAGAGCTGCCTTCGCAGGCTCCGGCCAGGCAGGGCTGTTTATCTCTGCTATGCTGCGCCAGGTCCTGCCCGGGCACCGCCGCAGCGGCGCGGGGGGTCCGGCTCTTAAAGGTGGGCCGTGCAGAGCCACAAGTACCCCAGCCCTCGCCTCTCCCCAGAGGACAGTGTAGGAGAGAGCAAGGCAGGAGAGCGTAACCCCGGGGC